CTGTTAGGGTCTATGTAGTCCCACATTGGCTATGTTAATATATAGTTTGATTCTTTGATGTGGCTTTATAAGGAATTTGGGATCCCTCCCTTGACAAACTAGCTTTTAGGGGTGAGTTATCTTGAGTCCCTTACATGCACACATACACACTTGCATTCATTATACAGTCTATACCACTGCAGGAGAACTTGTGACCCATTTGGCAATAGGCCAAATGAGATGTTGTAAAGTCTTAATTTACCAAACTTAAAAACACAAAAAAGAGTTAAATCTATCAAGGGTTCACTAATCTTTGTTATTATACAAATTACAAAAATACCTTTTTATGCGCAAAGAACGTGAAGATCAAGAATTAATATAATTGTACCGAAAAGTTAACCAGCTTAACGTTTTTCTATATGAAGCGGATTAAACTAGTTTAGTCTTTTTCCTTAAGTCCATCCTTCTTGAACTTTTGTCAAAAAAAACCTATAGCTCTAGTGGGTATTCAGCCTCGTAATTTTATTTTCTCCCACATATTACAAAAATTGAGCACCTCCAGTTGCAGAATTTACCAAAGCCTCAAGTAAAGGAACAAACGAGACCAGTAAATTTCAAGCTTCACACTGAGGAGAGAGCGACTAGGAGAGCTGGATTCAACGATCTCGTTGCAAGCAAGATCTATTCGCTTGAAATACTTAAAAGATTTGAAGAGAAGATTCAGAAGGTTGTAGTACATGAATACTACTTAATGTATTTATAGTGGACAATATAATTCATGTAATAAGGTTTTTACTAGTTTTTGACGTGAAACCGTGCAGGTTATAGAAGAAGAGGAGATCAAGATATTGAGGAAAGAAATGGTCCCAAAAGCCCAATTGATGCCTTTCTTTGACAAACCATTTTCGCCACAGAGGTAGTAAAAAGTTGACAACAGTCAAAAGTATTCCCAAATGAAAAATTGTGGAAAAATAGATTAGTAGATTAACTAATAAAAGCATAAAGTTCTACCTGGTTAATGTTTAAATGAAAACTAAACTAGAAGTTCCAAAATTTATGAAAATACATTGTTAGTGAAGTAAATGTAAAGAAAGCTAGCTAATTAATCAAGGCTAAATGGTATTTGATCTGGACTCTGTTATATTTACAAAAACTACATATGCTAAAATCTCTTTCATATAAGTCCTTTCTTTTTTCAAGATTTAGCAAGTCAACATGAAGATTAAATATTTACAATTAATAGAGAAGACTTAGAAAGTTAATTAGCAACAAAAAAGGTATTATAGACTCAATAAATGACATTCTCTTTTGACAAGAAAAGAATTGCTAAAGGAACACTTCAAGTTGGCAATTTTTTATTTTAGATCTGAACTTAAAAAACAATCTTATTTAATAACTAGCATAGCAAACACTATAAGTTTTATACTATTTTTATACTATATGAATAAAAAACGTGGGATCAGTAGAAACTATTAATTTCTAATAGTAATTCATGAAATATCCCGTAATTTTGTTTTATGTACCGCAAAAGTAGTATGACATAAATTTATTGTCTAGCTACTTCAGTATCCCTCTTTTACTTTTCCTAATTTACGTAACAGGTCAAGAAGACCTCTTACAGTTCCAAGGGAACCCAGTTTTCTACACAGAGAGAGTTGCAGTGGAGACGAAGGATTCAAATATTATCAACAGCATTTTGGGCAACACATGAAAGCAATTAGATAATCCATGGGGCTTCAGAAGTACTTGACTAGTTTTAAGTAGGATAAGTGAATGAACATCCGCTGCTTTCGATTGCTGGAGTTATGCCAAATTTTGCAGTTTGTTTCATTATAAAGACATTTGGCTAGTGATATATCTTAATTTAGGCACAAGTTTCTTGTGTGTTTCTCAGTGGCTAAAATATCACATAGAGCATGATATAAAGAGATTTTCAATAACATTGAAATTTGTATAGGAGTCCTAATTCCATTGCCATGATGATGAAATATTAATAGAAAGTAAATGGATATGAGGTGACATTTCACTTTGCTAAATGAGCTATTAAGGGAAACTAATGTTCTGATCTCCACTTATTACTCACATCAAAGTGCATGTCTTATCGTTTCTATCTCTTGATAATTCATCTTGCTAAATCTATACATCTCACAATCATCAACCTATTACTAACAAAGTTAAAACTAAATCCTCTTTATTGTTTTGGTACAAGGAACCTTAGCTTAATACCAACCAAGTAAACCCTAGATCTAGGCCCCCTTTTCATAGTCAAAACACAAGTGAATAACATAAGTGTCGCAATTGTCACACACCGGGCGCGCGATCTCATTAGCGCGATGTAAGTCCTGAGACCCGCAGAGTGCAACAAGTGGTTTGGCTCACTCTACTGCCAAAATTGGCTAGCCAATGTATCACGTGGCTCTCAAGACCCATCATTTAAACCCTCTTACTCTATCAATTTTTCCGATGTGGGACAATATTAGTGGGGCACCCCAATGCATTTGTCACACCCTGGGCTCGCGAGCCTGTTGGCGCGATGTAAGTCTTGGGATTCACGGAGTTGTAACACGTAGTTAGGCTCAATCTACTGTCAAAATTGCCTAGCTAATGTTGCACTTGGCTTTCAAAACACTCATTTAAACCCTCTTAAATTCTATCAATTTTTCGATGTGGGGCTATATTAGCGGGGCATCACAATCACCCAACCTTTATTACAAGGGTCCTCGCCGCAACATGATAATTAGCACATCCCATTATCATCACTAGGCGATGGGGACTTTACTGGCTTCTAAATGTAGCCCCCACCATACTCATGCGGTGTCACACTTAGTCCCGCATAGCATTTAGCTTCACATTTCTGGCTAGCTAACTGCTCTGATACTACCCCTATTGCATAACCAATTGCCTTGACACCCTCAACAAGATAGAGAGGAAGGGAGGTGGACTAGTATTGGATGTTGACAATGGGGATGAGGAAGGCGAGGAGTCGGGAGCGGGTTCTGCTCGAGATAGTTGAGCTAGCCGGGATGGGGATGACCAAGATGAGGAGGTTGGATCTGATCCCTCGTCGGCTCATTAGTCGACTCCTACTGCTTCTTCTCCTCGACTGATATCAGCTCCTGGGTCGAGTGCTGCACTTCCCAACCCTACTCCTGATCCAAGTCGAGTCCTTTGAGAGCTCTATGTGTCTCTTTTGTTTTGTTTTGTTTTGTTTTTTTGTCTTTTTTTTTTTTGCATCTTTTCAAATGTAAACATTGATGTAAATATTCTGACATATGAATAAGAGTTATTTTTGTTTCTTTATCTGTGATGGTTATCTGTAGTTTACCCTTTTTTGGGATTGGTAAATGAGACAAGTAAGCTTCATGCCTTGGATTTATTATTAGAGGATACCAAGGACTTGTGCGTCGGAGTCCATGTTGGGAATGACTCGACTTTGTGCCTTGGGTTTACTCAAAATGACACCAAGGTCTTATGTACGTGCCTTGGGCTTATTCATGAGAATGATGACAAGGTCTTAGAGTTTATGGCATGCCTTGGTTTTATTCTAAATGGGTACCAAGGTCTTTCGAGTTGGAGTCGGCTATGTTAGGGACGACTCGGCTTTGTGTCTTGGGTTTGCTAAAAATGACACTAAGGTCTTATATATGTGCCTTGGTCTTATTCATGAAAATGATGCCAACGTCTTAGAGTTGATGACGTTTCTTGGTTTTATCACGAACAGGTACTAAGCTCTTTCGACTTGGAGTCGACCGCATTAGGGACGACTCAGTTTCGGGCATCTGCGAAGACTTAGACAGTACAAAAGCATAGCATAATAAAATTATTAAAAATCAAAAGATTTTACATCACATGCGAGTCTTACAATCAAAATTATTGAAAGTATTTCTTGAGATGCTCTACATTCTAAGGATGTTGCATGATTCGTCCATCGATGCTTTTCAGTCGATAACTGCCAGAACACACTTCCTCAAAGACTATGTACAGTCCTTCCCAATCGATGACGAACTTGTCGTGCTTGGTGTCTTGGTCAAAATGGATCTTCGAAGAATGAGATCACCAATATCTTATCTCCAAGGTTGGACCTTGATGTTGTAGTATCGGGCGATGCGTTGTTGGCTGATGACTTACAATCGGAGAGATTTCTCTTGAAATTCATCGATGAGGTTAAGTTTGACTCCAAGTCCTACGGAATTCAAATCTTTCTCGAAGTGCTACAGTCTGATTGTTGGCATGCTGAATTCTACTAACGTGACCGCCTCGGCTCCATAAGCTAGCTTGAAGGGAGTTTCCCCCATGTAACTCTTATGAATGATACGGTAAGACTACAGAATTCCCAGCAGCTCTTCGACCCATTTCCTAATGGCCTTGTCCACCTTCTTCTTCAAAGCTTGAAGTATGCATTTATTGGCGGCTTCTACAAGTCCATTGCATTTTGGGTGTGCCACTGAGGCAAACTTGAGCCGTAAATTCCATTCTTTGCAAAAATTTCGGAAGCCTTTGATGTCTAATTGAGTTCCATTGTCAGTAATGAAAGAGAAGGGAATGTTAAATCTACAAACAATGGATTTCCACAAAAAATTGGAGATATTGCTCTCGCCAATTTTGGCCAATGGCTCGACTTCTATCCATTTTGTGAAGTAGTCAATGGCAACAATCAAGAATTTTCGTTGCCCAGAGGCTATTGTGAGAGGCCACAACAAATCTAAACCCCATCAAGTAAATGGAATCGGTATCAAAATAGGGGTGAGTTCAGTGGCTGAAGCTCGTAGCACGTTTGAGAAGAATTTGCAAGTCTTACATCTAGAGATGTGTCTTTTAGACTCGGCTAGGATGGTGGGCCATTAGTATCCTTAGCAGATCACCTTTTGAGCAAGAGTTCTAGATCCTGGATGATTCTCACAAGTCCCATCTGTAGGCATCAAAAATTGCCTATAGGTCTCCACGAACAGCTCAGTGTTAAGGAACGACGATGAACGTCACTATCCGGTTCACAGGAGTTCGATTGATGTCGATGAACGATTAAAGGAACAATGCCCTTCGTGCCTCATTCATTCAACAGATGATCTAACTCTCGGAGCTGATAGAACTCCTCGTCAGCTTTCCAACGCATTTCGAATCACCCAAATCCGAGTTCGGACGAAGAATTTACAGCGGAAGCGGATGAATACCCCTCAATGGAGTGTCTCGGACCAACGAGACACCCTACGGTGTCTCGGCTAAGGCCGAGACACCCTAGGGTGTCTCGGCCCAAATCGAGACACCCTAGGGTGTCTCGGATCAAGTGGAGACACCCTAGGGTGTCTCCAAGGTAGATTTGGGTCTTTAAGGTGTTTTAACCGCTCCGTTATCCCCTCAAGCCTATAAATACAAGCCTTAGGCCTCATTTTTTCAGATCTGGAATTTTGGAGATTAGGCGAAGCCCTGCCGGATTCAAGACTGAAGATGCACAGATTTTAGAGAGGAGGAGGAGAGATCGGATCCAGTTCTTCAATGCAAGAGAGAGATTCATCAGATCTACAGTTTCTCGGATCCGTTCCTTAAGATTATCCCGTTGTGGTAATCTTAAGAAGAGTGATTATCTCGCTTCGCCGAGATAAGAGCTACGATTTCTCGATCCCTTCGCGGATAGACGAAGCTCTGCCTAATTTTTTAGCAATCAGATCTGATCGACGGTGGTCCACGGATAAACCCCGGCACAGGCCAAGATCCCACGCAAGCAGAAGACCGATGAACGATCTCTGCGTTTGTTTGATAAAGTTGTAAACTTTTTTTATTTTCATTGTGTAAGGAGATCTTATAAAAAGATCAACTTTTTATTTCATTCGAGTTTATTGTAACGACAAAAGTTGTAATAGATTCGATAACAATGGAAATAGCAACTTTCACCGCAAACAAACTGGCGACCACACTGGGAGCCAACAGCTTCGCTGCCGGAGCTGTCGTGCCGCAACCGATGATCAAGATCCCGGTGCTCGAAGAGGTCAAATACGAGTTCAACCAGCAGAAGTTCGAGGAGTATGTCTCCTCCTCCTCCTCCAAATCTGCCTCTCCTTGCAGGTGCAGGAAGGCCTCCTCCTCCAGAAAGATCCACTGGTCTTCAGATCTGAAGACCCAAGAAGACGATCTCTCCGCCGTCGCTGCTGTAGTTACACCTCGCAACGATCCACCGGCTTCCAAAGAAAACAGATCCAACGTTCGTGACACCGTTGAAAGTGCACCAGTGTTGACGAAGAGGGCTCGTCAAAGGCGCCGTCAACATCTCGCGCGTCAATTTGCCAAGGCTTTGGAGTCTGTTGACGGGATCTGTTATGATACGGATCTGAAACGCAGAAGGCGCAAAGTTTTCCAGCAACAAGTTTTGGGAACCTCCTCCCAACCACCTACTAATGAATGGGTTCGTGTCAAACGAACTCGTTCAACTCTTAAGGAGCGCATCCATAAACGCCGCGCACTATTAGCGCAGACAAGGATTCTTGTACGGAAGGCACAGGAATTGTAGAAGGAAAAGGTGGCAAAAAAACCACCAAGATCTAAGCAAGTCTGGATGCCAAAGGCCAAATCAGCGCCCAAGGCAAAAGCAGACGACGATGCTCTCCAGCCTTCGTCAACTCCAGACCCTGCTCCCGCACTTCCGGTGAAGCTCTATGACAACGTGGGTCTCCCCAAAGCTAAAGTCCCATTGAAGAATCGCATCGGTTCCCTACCCGAGAATCGAGAAAAAACGCTTGTTAAGGAAAGCTGGAGACCGTTAAAGGAGCTTCGAACAAACATCCGGACTGGGGGTCGTACGCGACCTCCTGGAAAATTAATTTCTACAACAGCCCGCTCGGAGGTACGTGCAGAAAACCAGGAGCCCGTTAAGTTTTCACCCTCACAAGGGTGTGATTCCAAAAGTGTGACTCCTGTAGATGCCAACAAGGCAATGTTTACTCAGAGGAAAACGCTTCAGACAGA